ACCATCAAGAGGAATAACTTATGTATTATAGAATTCCAAAACAGGAGACAAAAGAAAAGTACAGAGAAAATTTTTGACGATTTGCTGGCAGAAAACTTCCCTAATATCATGAAAGATGAGAAGATATCCATCCAAGCAGCTCCAAGAACTCCGTACAGGACAGACTCCAAAAGAAAGTCAACAAGACATACCATAATCAAACTTTCTAAGACCAAAAACAAAGAAGAAATCCTGAGAGCAGCCCAAGAAAAATGAACTGTTACCTACAAAGGGGAGCCAATAAGACTAAGCTCTGATTTCTCAGCAGAAACCAAGCAGGCAAGAAGGCAATGGGATGACATATATAAAACCCTGAAAGAAAAAAAATGCCAACCAAGAATTACATATCCAGAAAAACTGTCTCTCAAATACAATGGAGAAATCAGGACATTTCCAGATAAACAGAAATTAAGGGAATTTGTAAAAACCAGACCAACCTCACAAGAAACATTAAGGGAGTCCTTTGGACAGAGAACCAACAACATTGGACAACAACCCAAGATTAAGACATGTTGACAGCATCACCCCGGATAACAACCAAGATAAAGAATTCTCGAAAATAAAATAAAGCTGCAAAACCGAAAGCAGGGAACCAAAGATGTCAATCTGTAAACGGTAACTCCAAAATAAAAAGGGGGAATAAATGGTGTAGTTACAAAACTTCCATATAGGAAGGAAGTCAAGGCAACATCAAGATGTAATAGACTGTTTTAAAATTAGGAAGATAAAGATAAATTTCAGGGTAACCACAAAGAAAATTAATAAACCTACTCATCAAAATAAAAAAAGAAAACCATAAAGACTCAGTTAACACAAAATCAACAAGAATGAAAGGAAATCCATAAACAAAAAGAACTCAGCACAGAAAAGTAAGTGGAACAAAGAAATCATCAACACCACAAAAAAAAAAAGAAAAAAAAAACCACGCACACACACAACAAAATGACAGCAGTTAATTCATATTTACTGAAAATCACACTGAATGTAAATGGGTTAAATGCACCAGTCAAAAGGCAAAGAGTAATAGGATGGATTAAAAAAATATGACACATCTGTTCTGTAAACCTTCACCTGAAGTACAATAAAAAAAAAAAAAAAAGACCCATCAATATGTTGCCCTCAAGAGACACATCTTAGACACAAAGATAAAAACAACCTAAAAATCAAAGGATGGAAAAAAATATATCAAGCAAACAGTAACCAAAAAAGATCAAGAGTGACAATACTAATCTCAGATAAAATAGACTTTAAGGCAAAATCCAACATAAGAGACAAGGAAGGGCACTATATTAATGACTAAAGTGTCAAACCATCAAGAAGATATAACCATAGTAATATTTACGTACCCAATGACAGAGCTCCAAAATACATAAAACAAACTCTAACAGTATTGAAAACAGAAATCGGCAATTCCACAATAATTGTAGGAGACTTTAATACACCACTTTCAATGAAGGACAGAACTAGAAAGAAACTCAACAAAGACACAGTAGATCCAAACATCACAATCCACTTGATCTCAAAGACGTATACAGAACACTCCACCCAACAGCAGCCCAGTACACGTTCTTCTCCAACATACATGGATCATTCTCCAGAACAGAGCATCTTTTAGATCACAAAGCAAGCCTCAATAAATTAAAAATATCGAAATAATACAAAGCATCTTCTCTGATCACAACACTATAAAATTAGAAATCAATAACAGGAAGAAAAAGGGAAAAAACCAAATATATGGAAACCGATTAATACCTTGCTTAAAAACCACTGAGTAATAGAAAAACTTAAAAATGAAATTTAAAAAATTCCTAGAATCAAACAAGAATAAAAACACAACATACCAAAACCTCTGGGACACAGCAAAAGCAGTACTCAAAGGTCAATTTACAGCAGTAAACACACACATTAAAAAAGAAGAAGGGGCCAAAATCAATACCTTAACCCTACAGCTTGAACAAATAGAAAAAGAGCAGCAAAAGAAGCTCACGGCAACCAAAAGGAAGGAAATAATAAAGATGGTTGTTGTTGTTGTTAGGTGGGGTCAAGTCGGTTCTGACTCATAGCGACCCATGTTCAACAGAACGAAACACTGCGCAGTCCTGCGCCATCCTCACAATCGTAGCTATGCTTGAGCCCACTGTTGCAGCCACTGTCTCAATCCATCTCGTTGAGGGTCTTCCTCTTTTTCACTGACCCTCTACTTTACCAAGCACGATGTCCTTCTCCAGGGACTGATCCCTCCTGATAACATGGCCAAATAAAGATTAGAGCCGAAATAAATCAGGAAACAGAAAAAGAATCAACAAGACTAGAAGCTGGTTCTTTGAAAGGATCCATAAAATTGACAAACCACTGAGCAAACTGACAAAGGAAAAGAAGATGCAAACAACACCCATAAGAGATGAGACAGACGACATTACAACAGAACCAACTGAGATAAAACGGATCATAACCGAATACTATGAACTGTACTCCAACAAATCTGAAAACCTACAACAGACACATTTCTAGCAACACACTATCTACCTGAACTAACACAAAATGATGCTGACAATCTGAACAGACCCGTAACAAGAGACTGAAAAGGTGATTAAAAAAACGCCCAACAAAACAAAGCCCTGGCCCAGATGGCTTCGCTGGAGACTTCTACCAAACATTCACAGAGGAGGTGACACCAGTTCAATTCGTGATGGCCTTTCCTTCAGGGGAAAAAACGAAGAAAGTGAAGCCTACTCTTAGGAGTTCTTTAGAGGTAATTCCTACGTAGACTGCCCGACTAGAACAGTAAGAAAATTATCTCCATAGTGCAATATGTAATTTCTTTCAGAGGTGTCTATCTTACCTATAATGTTATTTCATGTACTATTACAGATTGAATTGTGTCCCCAAAAACATGTCAGAATTCTAACCCCTATACCTATGGATGGAGCCCTGGTGGTGTAATGCTTAACAGCTCGGCTGCTAACCAAAAGGCTGGCAGTTCAAATCCACCAGCCACTCCTTGGAAACTCCATGGAGCAGTTCCACTCTGTCCTATAGGGTCACTAGGAGTCGGAATCGGCTCCATGGCACCTACCAACGACAACAACATACCTAGGGATGTAATCCCGTTCGGGAATAGAGTTTTGTTATGTTAATGAGATTATATCAATGTAGAAAACAAAAGAAACCAAATCCGTTGCCGTCGAGTCGATTCCAACTCATAGCGACCCTACATCAATGTAGAGTGTGTCTAAACCTAATCACTGTTGAGACATAAAAGCAGAAGCCAGCACAAATGAGGGAGAGGCAGATACCACATGGAGTTCACCAAGGAATCAAGAACACTGGGGCTACAGACAAAGACCTTCCCCCAGAACTGACAGAGAGAGAGCCCTCCTCTCGAGCCAGCACCCTGAATTCGGACTTGTAGCCTCCTAACTGTGAGAAAATAAATTTCCGTTTGTTCAAGCCACCCTCTTGTGGTGTTTCTGTTACAAGCAGCACTAGGAGACTGAGACAGGGACAGACTGGGGCTCTAGAGAGTTCTGTGCAGCACTCACCCTTGTGCAGTTTATACTGGAGAGAAAACAAGGACTGGGATGGGGGCACTCAGACGCGACCGTGCAGATTACGTGGGCGGAGGAGAAACGGTCTCTGTGCCAAGTGTCAGAAAGACGGTTCAACATTAAAAATGGGGTCTGTCTACAAACAACTCTTAAGTTAAAACTAGGCAATCCATCCAGACTCAGCACAATCTCACACACGGGGTGGGGGGGTTCACAGACGTCACAGGAAGGCCCCCCCCCCGCCGCAGCTCCTCAGAGAGAAGGCACTGCAGGGTTAGCGGATGATCAGGAGGGACCAAGCCACCTCAGGAAATTCCACGGCATCAGTTATAAACTTCAGAGCTCAGACTAGACGTTTAAACAGACAAACAGACATATATTTACTAGAAAAGTCAGTTTATTTTTCCTTTCTGTGTTTCAGATTTTCCCTTGTCAGTAATCAGCAATACTACTGATTGGAAATTTGCTTGATTAAATAACATTCGTTTATCAAGTTCATAAACAAACCACATTTCAGAGTATAAAGTAAGACGCTGAAATATATTCCCCAGCCCGATGCAAATCAGGTCCCTCCCAAATTGCACATTTCCCCCTAGTTTGCTTATGTAATTTAAACCCACCTACAGAACGGCCTTAAAATACTGATCACTAGTCTATAGAGTTCACGGCCTTGAAGACTCATGCCATTCTTGGAAGAAGAGACTCCTCAGGCCCTAGTGCTCCACTGACATGACCCCACGTCACGTACGGTACCCTCACCAGCAGAGCAAGGCCTCTTCCTCTAACTGCAGCGTCTGCTGAGGAAAGTCAAGGAATCAGCTGTGATGGCAATCACCCCTGTGCACAGGGCCAAACAGACCAGCTTCTACGCTGGACCTAAAGCCCCACACAGCAAATGCAGGGCCCACTCCTTTGGCTGGAGTCACTCGCTGGAATGTTCAAGATAACGGACATGCCTTCCGGTCCTCGAAAGGAAGGCTAGGTACGTTCTGGAGTCAAAGTGAATTCTGAATGAGGATGGGGCGGAGCAGGGTGACAATGATCTGACGGTATTGTTTCTAGAGGGGGATGACTTTCAGATGATTTTCAATGGGACAGACAATGATGGAGCTCCCGGCGTGTACTATGCCCTCTCCCACCAGATGAGCAGAGAGGCACTCTGTCCACGGCAGGCTCAGGCTCCATCCGGCCTGAGTGTCAGGGTGTAACATGCCAAAAATGACCCATTCTTCAAAGGCTCGTGACAAAGCCAGGCGCCATGCCCCTTCTGTTCGTGCAGCACATTGCAGACACCAGCCACGCGTGACTGCCACCTGTTCACTCAGCTTCTGAGGCTGGAGAACAAGAGCCCACGTCCAGCTGGGCGCTAAGGCTGAAGGGAGGAGCCTCCGCCAGGCCATACAAAGAGCTGGTGGGTGCACGGTACATTCATGAAATACGGCAACAAATCGTCAACAATAATCGTGTAGTGTAGAAAAATCAGCCAGCCTTCGAGGCTGGTCAGCATCTCGCAGGTGGCTGACACCCGGGGCAGGCTGTGGCGGAGGGCACCAGTCACTCTCTCAATGTATGAGCCTGCCTTCTCTGCACAAGATGGCCTAATTCCCTCACAATTAATGGTGAGATGAACACAATGGTACAGCTCGTCTGTGAAGAGAAAGAAGATCAAAAATGCAGCAGCGGTCCAGCTACTGCTCCTGGAGCATCAAGGTTTGAACATCATAAGGGATCTGGACAATTGCATTCGCTTTGACTTTGTACAAAGACAACACCTGATCTTAAATGAATTAGAAAATGCTTTTTAAAATCAGAGCTCATATCATTACAAAATACTTAATGTTACATTTCAGTCTCTGGAAAGGGGCTGAGGTAGATAAACCATTTGCCATTGGCAGGGCAGAAGACTGACGCTGGGGCTCAGAATTAGACCCAGTTTCCTTTCTACTACACTTCCCAGGGGATCACACCAGCAGGAGACAACTCCCTCCCTGACGTGTCAGGAGGGGGACTCACGAGAGACACGTCCGCCTCGGGAAACTAAAAGGCAATTAGGGACAAGAAAGCACCCCCTGTGATAGCCTGGCGCCAGCTCTGGGAGCACCTGGACTCAGCTACTTTGGGCCCCTGCACAAGGCAAGAGAACAGCGATCTGTACTGGGCTGACTGGAGCTAAAGAGAGGGCCATGCCTCCTAATTAGGATGCCCAAGATTTAGGTACAGGAAGCCTGGTGGCGCGGTGGTTAAACGTTCAGCTGCTAACTGAAAGACTGGCAGTCCACACCCACTCAGCAGCTCCATGGGAGAAAGGCCTGGCGATCTGTTCCCATAAAGATTACAGCCTAGAAAACCCTATGGGGCAGTTCTACTCTGTCATGTGGGGTCGCCGAGAGTCGGAATCGACTTGATGGCACACAACAACAAGATTTAGGTACAGGGTGCTAAATGGACCCCCTGGTCCACAAGGCAGTGACCAGAGTCTCAAGGAGCCCTCTCGCGAGCACTGTCCCACCAAGAGCATCACAAGTATGTCGTGTGCTGACTCAATGGATGCTACATTTTAAAAGCACCAGGCATCCTTCTATACTGGCTATTTCCCAGAAAGTACGAACTTCCAGTCAATGTCCAAGGGACAGCAAATACTTCCTCAAGAGATGATGGTTATTTTGGAATCCACACATGGACTAACGCAGTGTTAATTAGAGCAATGCGTGGTTGTTAACCCCACGGTGCCTGGCAGGCACTGGTATTTCCTTCAGAATCCCCACGCCGTATTCACCACGTGGAGAGGACCCCGGAGGAGTGCACTGATCAGTGCTGGTGACACTGGAAATGAGTGTCTCATTGTTAGTTTTTCTGGAATTATAAACGGTAATACTTGTTAGACTCAGGTCAAAGACAAATGGGGGGCCATTTTCATCCTTAAAAAAGAAAAAAATGTTACTTTTCACAAAACGGTCTTTAAAAGAAATCATCAAATTTACTGGTTTCAAGAACTGACTTAAGTAAACGCTTCAGAATAAATTAATTAGAAAAATGATTAGTTATTAAAAAAACCAAGCGCACACTTACCATGAGAATGAAGAAATAGAAAACCCACATCCATCCAAGTCTGTCCTGGATCAGAGACACCAGATACTGAAGGGGAGACAAAGACAGTGCCATACAATCATTTCTAACTAGTAAGATGAAACCACTGAAAAAGCAGATTAAACATGGCTATTTTCCACAACAGAAGACAGCGGGGCGTTGTGTAACGCTTTGCATTTTACAAAACTCTTCCAAGAGCACCTTCCTGCTGACGCTTTATCAACGCCCCGAGTGCTACGGGCTTACAGAGGCCCCCACACAACATCTGTACAACAGAAGACACGTAAGTTGAGGTTCTTTATTCTCTTTGCTATGAAGACAGAAGATGAACGCTCTCAGACCACTCCCGCGTCATCACCCTTTCTTCCGATAAAAAGCACCACAACTGACGCTTTCTGATGGATTACTGTGTAATACACCTCCCGTTCTCCAGTTATGCTCTTTGCTCCCAGGACTACTGTGCTACGTTAATGTTCTGTAGCATCTTCTTTACTTTCAATCGCTGGAAAGGATCTAACAGCACTGAACGCATGTCCTCTGATCACACTGCTACCGACACTGACAAGCTGGAAAAACGAAAGGGAACGATTTAGCCTGGATCACGCAGCGGAAAGCAGACCAGCGGAGGTTAGCCTGGATCACGCAGCGGAAAGCAGACCAGCGGAGGTTAGCCTGGATCGCGCAGCGGAAAGCAGACCAGCGGAGGTTAGCCTGGATCGCGCAGCGGAAAGCAGAC